TTGACAAAGGAGGTGTTGAAAGAAGCCAATCCTCTCTACCTCTAAGTCTTAGCTACTCCAGAAATTCTGATACTTAGAAATCCTTCCAGATTTCGCTGGTGGCCTTTCCTGGGTGTGGTGGGGGCAGAGGGGAGGAGGAAGCTCTGAGCTGCTTCTCTAGGTCTCCTTCAATGCCTCTTTGCCCAAAGCTGAGCTGTCTGAACTCTCCGAGATGGTCGGGATTTTGTCCCCTACTCGGTGTAGCAACAGTTTGGCCCTCCTGCATGGAGTTGATTCCGCTGCCAGGCCAGTTTGCTACTCTCTGTGCGGGATGGTAAATATTTGGCCTGTCTCAGTACTTACACACAAAAGAACACGCTCTTGATTTGTGACAGGTCCGTGAAAGAGCTGTCTCAGAAGTAAGGGATCAGTTTGGGTTCCATGAAGCGTTTCTCTCGAAGCAGTTTAGGGTAAGGGCCATGAAGGCAGACTTTGGATCCAGATGTGCTGGAGTTGGAGTCCTAACTGCCACTTGCCAGCTGGGTGGCCTTTGACAAGTAACTTCTCTGTGCCCATTTCTTCCCTTGTGAACGAGTGTTATGATACCTACCTTGTAAGTCTGTGGTGAGGCTTATATGAAAAATGTAGGCACAGCGCCTGGCACACAACAGTAGACCTTTGACTGGTAGTCCTCATCTCTTCGGCTCTTATTTTGAATCTGCCTGTGTATATGTGCTGGTTGAAAAGGGTGCAGAGTGATTGAGATCTCCGGCTTGTGGGTCTCTTGCTTGCTAGCTTGTGGCCTTGGGCAAGTTACCTAACCCACTGGCAACAGCAGCTTTGTAGTAATCATAAGGCTGGGATAATGTCTGGGAATCCCTTCCCTTGTCTGAATCTCAGTTCTCCAGTTTTTATTGCTCACCAACCATGTGCCAGGGACTGAGCCAGGCTGAGGTTCCAACCTTGGGTAAGATGGGCATGGCCCCTCACTGCTCACTCTGATTTATACCCCAGCTCTGAAAGCAGATGAGGAGTATTGTGAATCCTCTTGTGGTGGCTGAGGCTGAGACTGGGAGGGGCGGCGGGGAGAGGTTCCCTCAGGACCTCACAGCTGCCTTTGGTGCCGCAGGAGGCAGATGCCCAGCCCTCTGGGTACAACTGGCTACCACGTTGGGAGCCAATAAACGTGAGCTGTGAACAGGAGGTGGATGGGCCTGGATTAGTCAGCAGAGTGCTTAAAGGAACCCTGGGTGTGCAGATGTGGCCATCTCATACATCTGCTCTGTAGTGCAGTCAGCCTGAAAGGCCCAAAGACTCCGATTCTAACACTGAGCACATTTCACGAAAGGTCCCCAGGAAAGGTGAATTGCCACAACTGCTCTTGGCTTGCCTGCTCATTGACCGAGTGGGCAAGCTAAACACACTCTAGTGGGACCAGTCAAGCAGAGTACAAAACCAGGAGGGGTAGGGGAAGGAAATAATTCAGTATTCCAAAAAAAAATGCTAAAGAGTGATTATCGCGTGGGGGGGGGGAATCAATTTCATTGGCCTTCCTTACACTTTTTTTTTTATAGCTGAGAGTTTTTATTTTTGAATTTCAAACTGGAGGTGAACATAGACCATCATCTTTTCAGTGCTTCAGAGCCATCAGTAGTCCTAACTGACCCTGGGCAGTGGGCAGTGCATAGAAACAGAGCAGGTGACTTCTCACCCACTGCACAGCTCCCTCCCACCTTCCTCTGGCACAGTCTGGGGAATTTTGAAATCACCCTGTAGCCAGACCCCTTGGGTTAGCTGCCCAGGGGAACTGGGGAGGGAGGCGCTATGTGGAAAGAACCATCGCCTGATTTCAATCTCAGTTCTGCCACTTTGGGCCTGAGAGCCCCCTTCTATGTCAACTGGGGGGTTGGCCTGAATACAGTGTGCACCCCTGTACAATCTTCTAAGATTCCGAGCCAGGAGGAGCAGAAGAGGGCACAAGGTTGGAACCTGGGCCTGTGGTTTGGAGGGGTGGGAGGGGTGGGGGAAGGATTCAGAGATGTGCAGCTGGGAAATTTGGATCAATCTATGAAGATTTTGTGGTTCATTCTCATGAAACTCACTTCCTCTCACTGGATTTCTGCCCTGGGGTGTGTGGGGTTCAAGGGAAAACACTGGCTTCTCCTTCTTGGTGACTAAGGCTTAAATTCTGGTCTTTCTAAGCAGACGTTTAAGAAATAATCCTCCATCTCTCCATGTCCATTGTAAGGTAGACCTCCTCCCCCACCTTCTAAAAATGATTAAAACTGCATCGCTGCTTATCTGTTGATGGCACCTGGCTTTGACTGGTGGAAGACAGAAAATGCTTTCTTGCTTAAAGCGGGCATTGGGGAAAGGGCGTTGGCTTTGCAATTGGAAATCTGGCTCTCCCGTGGACTAGCTGGGTGACCTTGGGCCAGTGATGTGCCCTCCTGAGACTCAGTTTCCCCATGTGTGATAGTACATGTCCACTTTGTAGGGCTTTATGAGAATTACATGAGAATACCTGTGTGAAACGCTGGCCACGTGGTAGTGGGGAGTACATACATGGTAGCTGTTCTCAAGTAACATCGTAGTTCATCCCAGGGCCTGTGGAACCAATGAAGAAACCCCAGTGAGGTCAAGGAAGGATAACCTGAGCCTGGCAAGCCTGCTTGCTGGCTTAGTATCTGGAGAGAAAACATTGGAAGAAAAGTAAGTCCTCGCCGTGTGTGCTGGGGGAGGTGGGGAGTTCCTATTTCTTCAGGGAGACATGCCTGGTACAAGCTAAGAGGGACAGGAGGTGAGGGGTGGCTGAAGTTGTTCACTTTTCCAGGAGTGAGTGCATACAATCACTGTGCTCCAGCGCATCTCAGGGGACAGGTTAGTGGGAGAGTCCGAGTAACGTTCTCTTGGATTTCTTTCTCCTGAGCTCGCTGTTGTAAGCTTAAGAAGATGAAAAAAAATTTTTTAAAGAAAATGCGTCCTTGCTCTTGGAACTTCTAAAGCAACAAAGCAGACATATGGACACAGGACTTGCCTATAAGCAAAATGTTGGTCTCCAATTTACCTGGCCAGACCACTGTATATTGGGCGAAAGTCAAACACTTGCTCCCAGCTGGTCAGTGTGGAGGGTTCACCCTTCTCTGGCCTGCTTCTCTCTCCCTCTGCCCCTCCTCCTATGTCTGGTGATAGCAAGTGTTCATTGTGGCTCAGGTCTGGGCGCATGCTAACCTTGGCCAGATCGCTGAATGTTAAACCATCTGGCAAAATATCACATTTCGACAATGGGCCTTTTCTATATAGATGGGAATAGAGGGGGGCAGTGCCAGGGTACTGGAAAACCACTTAAGCATTGACAGTGGACAGGGGGCAGGGTCTGGGATCCTGACTTTGAATGTAAGAGGTGGGGATGGAGCAGGGAGTCGCTCCTTAAAATAGAAGTAGGCCAGAAAACCAGCACCTTCTCTTAACAGAGCCTGAGTGGCGGAGGGGGCCGATGCCAACCTACGCTGGCATCTTTCCTTTCGTCCTTTCGGTGGATTTTGTTGTAATTAGACAAGCCGTGACAAATATCCCATTGCCCTTTGGCTGGGGAGTTGTGAAGAGTCCTGCCTGGAAACCCAGCCTCCTTCACTTGGGAGCCATAATTAGGCAAGGGAACAGTTCACGGGCCCTTGATTCAATAAAGACCCTTTTATGATGTTGGTTTTTCCCAGAAAAATAATACCACTTTGCCCCGTTTATTGCATTTAGATGTGTAATCATATTAGACTAAGCAGCCCGGGGGACCAAAGTTACGTAGTTAGAGTTTTCACCAAAGCCTGTTACCCTGTCTTCAGAGGAAAACAGTGTCCTCAGTAAAAAAGAAAACAAGGACCATTTTTGAGGAATTTCTCCCTTGCCATTTAAAGGAAAAATGCTTCCATCAGGGTGAGAAG